GGCTATGTTGCTGTACTCCTATGTAGTCGACTGCAGTTCGTGTCCCGGACCGGGTGGCTTAAACTCACGCCGGGCGCGTGTGCATGTGTGCCCAAGAGCCCAAGAGGAGAATGGAGAAGGGATTGCAGCATGGCCATCCCCCCTGGGGGGGTGATTTCTCGCTTTCTGTCTTTCTGGCGAGCGCATGCTCCCTATTGTTTTGGGGAGCGCATGCCCCACATAACAAAAAAAAAAAAAAAAAAAAAAAAAAAAGAAAAAGAAAACCTCTCCAAACAAACAAACAAAAAAAGGCAAGATAATAGAAAGAAATTTTTAATTCTTTTCATGTTGATGACATACACTGTAGTGATATAAAAAGTATCCTGATATTTTAGAGGTATATATTTACATATTTATAGGTAAAATACCCTGATGTTTGTCATTTAAATCATTTCAGAAAAAAGTAAAGAAGGCCAAAAATACTTAAATTGTTAAATCTGGGTGTTATGGAATGCATGTTTATCGCTCCTGAAAATTTATGTTAAAACTCTGAACTCCTGGGACCAGCAGATGGCATAATGGTTACATCACTGGACCCCCATGTAGTCCACTGTGGTTTGAGTTCTGGAATCCGAGGCTTAAAACTCACACCAGGCAGGGGGGCAACAGGTAGTATGGTGGTTAAGGGCGCTGGACTCCCACATAGTAGACCTCGGTTTGAGTCTTGGACCTGGCAGCTTGCTTTCTTTCTCTCTCTTTCTTGCTCTGTCCCTCTTTGGTCAAAATTTAAATAAATAAATAAATAAAGTTAAATAAAATAATTCTTTAAGAAAAAAAAAATCCCTCATACCAAGCATGTGTGTGTGTGACAGTGGTGCGTGTGTGTGTGTGTGCATGCCCAAAATCCCAAGAGAAGAATCGAAAAGGGACTGAAGCGAGGCTATCCCCCCTATGAGAGAGTCCCCATGATGGGGTTAGTGTCCTTATATGCGAAAGAGATTAGAGCTTGCTCTCTATCCTGACAACATAGCAAGAGAAATGCCACCTGTTAGAAGTCAGATGTTGGCAGAGTAGTAAAACAAGACACTCTGCAAGACAATCCCACATGGGAAAGTTTCAGGTGCAAGTCCAGAAGCCAAGCATGCATGTGCCCATCATCAGGCTAGGGGGTTAGGGTTAGAGAGGCAGAGTTAGGGGTTAAAAGTGAGAATTAGGGGCTTATGATTATGGTTAGAAGTAGAAGGTTAGAAAATGGAGAGCAGCATCAAGACCTTGTTGGTATTGTATGTCTCTCTCTCACACAGAAAAAATAAATTAATTAACTATTAAAAAAAAAAGAATATCATCTGCAAACCAGGAGGAGGGCACTCACCTAAACTGGACCATGTTGGCACCCTTATCTGTGACTTTTCAAACTCCAAAACTGTGAGAAATAAAGTTCTGCTATTTAAACCACCTCGTCTATAGTATTCTGTTACAACAACCCAGACTAAGACACTGGGTAATGGATATATGAACATTTGTTGTGGTAGTAGTCTCTAATGTTGCAATCTCTAATTTTCTGTGTAAGAATTTCATTTTGACTTAAACAGAAAGAACGACAGAGATAAGAAAGACAAAAATCATCAGTATCCTTCGACCAGAGTCCCACCTAAAATATCCCCTTCCTCACCTGCAGAAACACTGGATTACATTATTCCACTGGCCTGTTCTTCCACCTCTAGCTAATCCAATCTGCAGAGTAAATATCCTATCAGTAGCCTGGCCTCCATTCTTAAGTAGGGCTCCATCATCCACCTCATCCTTGTGGAAAGTGTAAACTCCACAGCATGGCACACACTCTTTAAGGTCTGCCCAGACACTCTCTGAGCATTTACAGATAATTCACTTTCAATTCAAGAACCATCTTCCAAATAAAGACAGCTGTCGTTTTCACTTTAAGAAACTTTAAACAGGCAAAGAGAATGTAACTTTCCCAAAACCTCACAGCTAGTAAGTGACACAACTTGACAACCTAATTTTGACAGCTTGACTACAGAAAAATCTGTAATATTAACCACGGTATTATTCTGGGGCAGACACACTGTGGGTGATCAAGAAATGCTTGTTAAAAGAACACTGTAAAGAGCTTAGTTTTCCCTTTTCACCGGATCCCGAAAAGAGGTGTGAAACTCAATCATCCTGTCTCCTTTGAATGCCAAGTCACGTCAGAGAGGATGACGGTTATTGTTATTGCCGAGGCGTGCAGCAATGCTCTAGTCCGAGCTCCCCCTAAAAAAAAAAAAAAAAAAAAAAAAAAAAAAAAAAAAAAAAAAGAAAAAGAAAACCTCTCCAAACAAACAAACAAAAAAAGGCAAGATAATAGAAAGAAATTTTTAATTCTTTTCATGTTGATGACATACACTGTAGTGATATAAAAAGTATCCTGATATTTTAGAGGTATATATTTACATATTTATAGGTAAAATACCCTGATGTTTGTCATTTAAATCATTTCAGAAAAAAGTAAAGAAGGCCAAAAATACTTAAATTGTTAAATCTGGGTGTTATGGAATGCATGTTTATCGCTCCTGAAAATTTATGTTAAAACTCTGAACTCCTGGGACCAGCAGATGGCATAATGGTTACATCACTGGACCCCCATGTAGTCCACTGTGGTTTGAGTTCTGGAATCCGAGGCTTAAAACTCACACCAGGCAGGGGGGCAACAGGTAGTATGGTGGTTAAGGGCGCTGGACTCCCACATAGTAGACCTCGGTTTGAGTCTTGGACCTGGCAGCTTGCTTTCTTTCTCTCTCTTTCTTGCTCTGTCCCTCTTTGGTCAAAATTTAAATAAATAAATAAATAAAGTTAAATAAAATAATTCTTTAAGAAAAAAAAAATCCCTCATACCAAGCATGTGTGTGTGTGACAGTGGTGCGTGTGTGTGTGTGTGCATGCCCAAAATCCCAAGAGAAGAATCGAAAAGGGACTGAAGCGAGGCTATCCCCCCTAGGAATGATTTCTCACTTTCTATCTCTCTCTCTTTCTCCAGCAAGTTTACACACCCTATAGCAAAACTCTCTAAAACAAAACAAAAAAATCCTGTAACTCCCAATGTCATGAGGTAGAGGTAGAGCCTTTGGGAGATAATTAGCTTGGATGAAGTCATGAGAGAGTCCCCATGATGGGGTTAGTGTCCTTATATGCGAAAGAGATTAGAGCTTGCTCTCTATCCTGACAACATAGCAAGAGAAATGCCACCTGTTAGAAGTCAGATGTTGGCAGAGTAGTAAAACAAGACACTCTGCAAGACAATCCCACATGGGAAAGTTTCAGGTGCAAGTCCAGAAGCCAAGCATGCATGTGCCCATCATCAGGCTAGGGGGTTAGGGTTAGAGAGGCAGAGTTAGGGGTTAAAAGTGAGAATTAGGGGCTTATGATTATGGTTAGAAGTAGAAGGTTAGAAAATGGAGAGCAGCATCAAGACCTTGTTGGTATTGTATGTCTCTCTCTCACACAGAAAAAATAAATTAATTAACTATTAAAAAAAAAAGAATATCATCTGCAAACCAGGAGGAGGGCACTCACCTAAACTGGACCATGTTGGCACCCTTATCTGTGACTTTTCAAACTCCAAAACTGTGAGAAATAAAGTTCTGCTATTTAAACCACCTCGTCTATAGTATTCTGTTACAACAACCCAGACTAAGACACTGGGTAATGGATATATGAACATTTGTTGTGGTAGTAGTCTCTAATGTTGCAATCTCTAATTTTCTGTGTAAGAATTTCATTTTGACTTAAACAGAAAGAACGACAGAGATAAGAAAGACAAAAATCATCAGTATCCTTCGACCAGAGTCCCACCTAAAATATCCCCTTCCTCACCTGCAGAAACACTGGATTACATTATTCCACTGGCCTGTTCTTCCACCTCTAGCTAATCCAATCTGCAGAGTAAATATCCTATCAGTAGCCTGGCCTCCATTCTTAAGTAGGGCTCCATCATCCACCTCATCCTTGTGGAAAGTGTAAACTCCACAGCATGGCACACACTCTTTAAGGTCTGCCCAGACACTCTCTGAGCATTTACAGATAATTCACTTTCAATTCAAGAACCATCTTCCAAATAAAGACAGCTGTCGTTTTCACTTTAAGAAACTTTAAACAGGCAAAGAGAATGTAACTTTCCCAAAACCTCACAGCTAGTAAGTGACACAACTTGACAACCTAATTTTGACAGCTTGACTACAGAAAAATCTGTAATATTAACCACGGTATTATTCTGGGGCAGACACACTGTGGGTGATCAAGAAATGCTTGTTAAAAGAACACTGTAAAGAGCTTAGTTTTCCCTTTTCACCGGATCCCGAAAAGAGGTGTGAAACTCAATCATCCTGTCTCCTTTGAATGCCAAGTCACGTCAGAGAGGATGACGGTTATTGTTATTGCCGAGGCGTGCAGCAATGCTCTAGTCACGCCTCTTTTATTACGGCCTGAACAGGCTCTTTTCCTGCGAAATCTTTTCTGATTTCGTGTCTTCAAGGGGGTTGATTAGGGAGGAAGGCGGTGTCGATCACTGGTTCTTTAGGAGCGAAGAAGGGGAGACGGCTCTACTGAGTAGGATAGTTGTCTCGCCCAATGCAGACTCCAAAACCTCCACGACCTGGAATCTGAGCCCCCGCGTCCGTCAGGGACCTGAACCTGGTGGGCCCCTCCTGGGCAGCTGGGGGCCATGTCGGGCACACTTACCTCGTCCCGACACTGCTTCTGGCACATCTGGCAATACCAACGCAGTTTCTGAAGTCCCTTGGACTTGATCCTGTTGGCGATGGCCTTAGGGGTAAGAAAATCGGACTTGCCCATCTTGACCACTGCACCTATCACCCTCTAGTGCCCAGTGTCTGGCCAAACGGAAGCGGAAAGGGCTGAAGCTGGCGGAATGGGCGGGACAGATACTAGCTGAGAGAAAGAGGTGGGGCCTGAGAAGGCTGAGCCCAAAGCTCGCGAGATTTCCTTCTGTCTGGCGCGAGGAAGAGCGATTGAAGGAGATGTGAGATGGGAGGAGCACTTTGGGAAGCTTCTGCGCCTGCGCCTTGACGCCCGTCTGCCCGACCTTCAGCAAGGCCGGTGTCACCATGTTTTCTCGGGCGAGCGTCGCTGGCCTGTCGGCCTGGGCCCTGCAGCCACAATGGTATGGCCGCTTGCGGGAGGCTCGGCAGGATTGGGAGGGCTGGAAGAGCTCGGCCAGATGGGATGGAGGAGGGTGCCAGGGCGTGTAAAACGGACCTGGGGTCGCAGGGACGGGTTAGGCCCCTTCCCTGCGGAGGCCGCGGGGTCGCTGGGGCTGCAGGAAGCGGCTTGGAAACGGGAAGGCGCGAGGGGACCGGAGATAGGTCACATGGAATAAGGTCGCGCGCCAGGTCCCCAGGGGCTAGAGGGGTCTCCTGGGACGTCGGAACTGAAACCTTGGTCCGAGTTAATACCAAGACGGTCTTTAGTTGATTCAGCTAATACGTTCTGAGCGTCTGCTGCTAGCCAGGCGCCCTATCTTGAGCGCGAGTCTTGAGCAGGACTGGCATGGTGAGGGCATGAGAAAAATCCTACGGGAAGGTTAGGTTGTGCTTTATGTCCTTGATACCTTCGAAACCTTCTAGTGCAGGGCAGAGTGACCTTTTAAGGTCTCACCGATTCAGTGAGCACATTAATCGAGCACCTGCTGTGAAGTGGTTACTGGGAAACGATAGTGAGCAAAATAAGTGTCTTAATGGGCCGATGTTCGGCCTGGTGCAGAAGGAATCCTGAAGCTCTATCTGTTGACGGGGAAGGGAAAGACAACCTAGCGCTATCTTTAAGCCATTATGTTGAAGCAGTATCCCTGCAAGGTCATGAAATTGTCCCAAGGTCTTGAGAGGGAGATAGATGGGCTGTAAGTGACATTTGTTAATAACTGTACAGGCAAGCAGTTACAAGTTTTGAGGATTTTTAAACATGAATTCCATGGAGAGGTGGAGGACAGTTTTATGTGAAAGGACTATAAAGCATTAATTGAATAGGTATGTTTTTCATTAAGCTAAGAATTTATAGCACTATACAAGATTTTCAGGATAACAAGGTAATTAAATCTACTGTGAATTATCTCATGAAATTTTTGGTGGACTGGCCTTGGAAGTCAGATATGTTTCCTAATATTGAAAAAGAATATTGAGGATCCCGGAAGTGGCGCATAGTGGTTAAGGGTACTACTGTACTCTGTTGGAGTCCCAGATCTGGCAGCTTGCTTTTTCACTTTCCCTCTCTCTCTCACTCTGTCCCTCTCTGGTCAAATTAAAATAAATAAATAAGTAAAGTTAATAAAAAGTAATTCTTTTTTAAAAAATGAAAAAATATTGATGGGATGAATAAGTCGCTGTAGTTGAATTCTCGGGGTAAGTTGTCTCTCGCTTGTTAACCATTCATCACACGTTGGCTGTTTGCCTGTCCTGTTCATGGCTGGTACTATGAAAAGTGCAAAAATGTGCAAGGCAATAAATTGATATGGTCCCGGTGACCTTGGTCCCAGACCATCCTGTTATGGTGGTCTTAGTCACTAGCTGTGAAAGAATTCACCAACTCAGAAAGTGGATAGAAGGGATGTATTCACTTCCCAAGAGAGGAAAGGAGCCAGATGCAGAGGCATCCCACCATGAAGGGTAGGAGTGAGGAGCTTTTATTGGGTCTTAAGGAATAGGGGTTTTGGGTGAGTAATTAGGGTGATCTTAGGAGATCTGCTGGGCCTGGGGCAGTTTCATTGTTATCGCTGTTGTCATTTTATGAGTAGTGAAGTGTGCCTTGTATTCCGTCCTTAGCTGTGGTGCCAACTGTTTATGAATCAAGAAAGGATCACTAGCTCAGGGAGGAAAGGGGAGGAGGAGAACTAATGAATGAAGAAAGAAAGAATATCTGAAGCACCTAGAAGTTATGAATAGGCTTTTTCAGTTAAAATATCTAAGGCTTCAGTGAGACACTGAATCAGCCTGATTCCAGGGAGACACTGCTTTTAACTCTTTCCAATCCCTAAGGCTTGAGGAACATTTAACCCTTTAAGTGTCCCTGGCTGTGCAGTCAGTGGTGCTCAGCAACATCAGTTCTCTTTCCATCCTTCCAGTCTTGGTGTGCATTAATGTTATCTGCCAGTATTTTGGGGACCTTAAATATTATCCAAGTTTTTTTTATGGAAAGAGTTTTTAAATAGTATCCAAGATTATTGTTTTTAATGGAAAGACTTCCTAAAACAAAGACAATATATTTTAGGCAAAATTCTAGAAATGACTTTAAAAAAATACTTCTAACATTATATGAATAGTGCTTAATAGGGGATCATTTTAGATAAGAGCTCTCAGTCTGAGACAATTACTTCTTAAAGCCTAAATTGAAACCTCAATCAGCAAATAAAGGTCAACATCCCTTTGGAATGTTGGTTTTACACTTGATTTTAACCACAAGGCTGAGAGGCTGTGGAATCCATGGTTTTAAGTGTTAGGTTATGAATATTCAGTGTCCACTATGGAAAACGTATTCTGTCCTCTTTGTTTATTCCATCACTTGCTGCGCAATGTTTTCCTCTTTCTCTTACCATTAATTATAATTGCCTATTGAATTCAAAAATGAAAACCATCTTAATGTTCCATACTCTGGAGAGGGGAGAAAAATACCTTTGCCTTCCATGCAGAGGCTTTGGTTCTATAAATTATTAAAAGCTTTTAAAAGTGCAGTTTATTTTTGTTACAGTTTTCATTTTTAGGGAGGTTAGTTTACTAACATAAACTAAATGTTAAACTTAATTAAAATCATGGTTAGGCCAGTCAGTGGTGTAGTAGTTAAGGCAATTAGATCCCGCATGGCCTTCAGAGAGGTTAGAGTCCCAGACTTGCAGCTTGAAAAACATCCAGATGGGTGTGCATGTGTGCCCAGGATCCTGAACAGAGAGAGATGGGGAAGGGATTGAACTATCCCCTGTGGGGGATGCTTTCTCACTCTCTTTCTCTCTGGCAAGTTTATGAACCCTCTGGCAAATTAAAAAAAAAAAAATAGTATAAAATAAAAATGAGTTTGTCAAATCGGTTTCTACCTAAAATGTAATGTAAGATGGTTTACTGTACTTGCCAAAGGAATAAAAGGATGAATGGAGGATCCAGCAGGTGGTATGGTGGGTAAAGGTGCTGGATTCCCACATGGCCGACCGAGGTTTGAGTCCTGGACCTGGCAGCTTGCTTTCTTGCTTTCCCTTTCTCTCTTTGTCTCTGTCAGGTAAAATTAAAAAATAATAACAACAAATGGAATTAAATAAATTGTTTTTTTTAAAAAAAAAAAAAAGAATAAACGGAAATCGGAGACAAGTTAAGGCTCATCTTTTAGTGGAAAGGCAGGTGATAGACTTTCTTTGCATTGGCATTCAATATCAGAATGACATGAACTTCATAATTTTCTTTTCTTTGAGAGTTAGCTGATGCTGCAGTAGATCGTTCCTGATTCCTTCTTGTACTGCCTTCCTCAGCTCTCCTACCCATAGTGTGTGAGCATAACTGACAATGGTGAACAACAGTCTGTTTGATTCCTTAGCCACTGTACTTGACACATTTCAAGTCTCTCAAATAATCTGAGCATTTCTCAGGACATGATGCGTGATTCAGAACTTTCCCTTCTCATTTGCCAAACTTGTGTATTTTGTAGAACAAGCTATCCCTAGCTCAGCTCAGGTATTCTATACTCCAATGGTAATTTTTTAAAGAATTATTTTATGGAACTTTTATTTATTTATTTATTTTAATTTAACCAGAGAAGGACAGAGAGAAAGAGATGGGAAGAAAGTGAGAAAACAAGCTGCCAGGTCCCGGACTCAAACCATGGTCTGCCACATGGGAGCCCAGTGCCCTTAACCACCACACCACCTGCTGGCCCCTCACATGATAATTTTAAAAAATGAAATAGTGACATAGATACCGTTATAGCTAAATGAAAGCTACACATGAGAGCACTTAAACATATACAGTTAGGGTGTGTGCACAGCATAAGAATCCCAGAAGATGCTACCTCTGCATGCCTCTTATTTCGTTACTTAAGGGAACGAAAACATTCAGCATTAGTCCAAATATGATATGCAGTTCAGATTTATTTCATATAATACTTTCTGACCAGAAACTTGTGTCAGTTAAATTGAAATGTCTGTTAAAACCAGAATATCCAAATGTCACTTATTATAGCCAAATAAATTGAAATGTTGGTAATGAAAAGATCATTATACTGAAAAATAGAAAGTCAGCCCCAAAACATGCTACTTTTCGAGTGCCATTATGAGAAAATGTTAGTGGGCGACTCCTTATATCAGGTAGTCTGTCCTGTAAAACAGCAGACCTTACCAGTATTTGCCAGCTTCTGCCTTTTCTGTTGGTAGATGCATTCTTACAACCAAACCTAATATTTTCCGTTCAGTCTCCAAACTTTTTTTCAATTGCCTTTTTCTTTC